TTTAGCTCCAACATCAGGGTTGAAATAGTAGTTCTATGAAGCCAAAAAAATAAGCAAAAGTTAACAAAAAGAATTGAATTCAGGTAAAAACAAATAAGAAACAGTACAAGTTGGTAAAATAATAACTGAAGGCTGGTCCAAAAATGTCCTGGAAGCATTCAGAGTTAAAAATAAAAACTGGCAATGTTCCTCTGCTGCTGTGGACACATGTCAGCGTGTTTCCACTGCACACAGGTGAGAAGAGGAGATGTCAGAGAAGAGCAGCAGCAGCAGCAGCAGCAGCAGCAGCAGCAGCAGCAGCAGGATGGTAAAACCTTCACTGCTGCTGCTGCCACTACCACTGAACTCTACTCCAGACGACTGCTGTGTGAAGCCACAGAGGTGAATTCCAGTTTCACTGTCATTTAATATTGCTTTTTAAAAGTTTTATTTTATAGTCTCATACCACACAATAAAGAATCAATGTTTGTACAAAAATGTGAAGATTTATATTTGCATGCAAAACGTGTCTAAATGATGAATGTTAATGTATCGTTAGCCTTTCTGTGGAAGAGCCTTTGAAGTTGACCTCCTCTCCTCATTTACACAAGTGTCAAAGCAGCAGCTAATGGATGATTAAGTTAGATATATCCCTTTTCTTCTTCTGACCTGATCCAGGTCCCACAGGGAGACCCCTTCTTTCAGTTCCACTGTACTTTTCATCTGGAGCTTAGACTCAGAGTCTTCAGATTGTTCCAACAGGCAGGTCGTAAGGTACAGCAACCCCACAGTCACGTGACACTCACATAAGAAATGTAGTCCACAACCAAAAAACAAGTTGAGAATCCAAAAGCAAAGTTGCCAGTATGTTCAAACTCAGTGTTTGGTGTAAACCACAGGTCACTTCAGTGCTGCTCTCTCACAGGTCGTGATCCGACGTCGTGCAGACAGAAGGCTGCAGTGTTTGAAGAATGTGATGAGAGACCTGCCATCACAGCAGAAAGGTTCAGATTATCATCATAATCTGAAAGTTACACAAATGATTTTTCTGAATGAAGTCATCACCTTCTGACCTGATTGTCATGGCTTTAACTCTCATGTACTGTGTGAATGTTTTTTATATCAGAGGAGAAGAACCAGAAGACCAGCTGGGATGTGATTCCACTGAACAGAGTCTTTCCTTCTTCTTGTCCTGTTGTCTCAGTTAAAGACGACCCACAGGTGAGAGTCAGAGAACGAAGAACACTTCTATCAGACTGAAAACACTTCATCCAGTAACGTCCTGAAGGATCTCTCATCTCAATCTAATGTGATTGACTGAACAGTGCGAGGACAAATTGACTGTTGATCTAGTGCTCAGACATTCCACTGTTAGATTAAACCTGCAGCTCACACAGAAAAAAGACCTTGGAATAAATCACACCATTTGTCTTGTCTTTGTGTTTAATCCCTCAGGTTCTTAGTCATTCACAGACGGAGGCCGTGGCTCCTATAGACGTGTCCAGAACAACACGTGTTCCTTTCTTCCAGCTTCAGGTGGGTTTGTGTTTCTCTGTTCTGTTTGTATAAGACGTGGACACGGCAGGGCCGTAGCTGCTGAAAGAATATTTATGGATTTAATTTCATCTGTATCTGCTCACTTTATTTTTCTACTTGGAATTTAGTTTTGTAGAGGAAAATAAAGTATATGACACACACAGAGACTACATTTCAGAGCCACTGACAGAGGAGTTAAAAAAACTCTGTCACTGTCTGACTCTTTTCACTTTCCTATTCTCGTTCTCCCTCTCTTTCTCTCTCTCTCTGTCTGTCTCTGTCATTTGTTTATTGTGTATCATACTTATTTTTAACTCTGCTCATTTGGTTCAGTTTGGTCTGCAGGACATTCACATGAAAACGTGTGACTATCATAAAACAGCCCAGCCGTCCTGGACTCTCTCTCTCCTCTCCCTGCTGCCTTCAGGCCACCGCCACCGGAGCCTGAAGGCAGACACCGAGAGGATGTAAAGGGTTTTTTTTCCTCAGGTCATTCGTCAGCTTAACTCCAAAAAGTCATACAACTAAGTGTTCTGCAGTGCCTGGTTCCACAGTCTGTAAACATGTACACTAAAACAAATGTCATTGAACTGTGTATAACTCTTGTATCTCCAGGTTCCTCTGCACTACGAGCTGATGGGTTACCACCCTGTCTCCACCTGGGAGGCGTTCACCTCCTACATGCCCACCACGTTGTCCAGACAGTTGCGTACTGGACTAACGGTAGGTGTCGAACATCCTCACGTCAATAATCTTCATTGCCAACCATGAGTTGTTTTTCTGTGTCGTCACAGGATGATCCTGAATCCATGTCTCCTCCACAGACTGAAGGTGAGGATGAAGATGAAGGTGTGGAAGCTCTGACCTCAATCAGTCTGAGCTTCACCGCTCCTGAAGGTCTGTCCAGGCCGGTTCCTGCAGACCCTCTAAGAATCTTTGTAAGATTATTGTTCCTTCAAACACACTGACTGTTCTCTGTCTTCATCCTTTTTAAGAGGTTTTACTAATGTCTTTGTGCAGAATCCAGCTCCAGGTCTACAGACCTACAGACCCTCTCCTAAATACCTGGAGAACCAGCTGGACTCTCACCTCTGTCCCTCTCACTGGTAAAACACATCTCACTGCAGGAATGAACTAGTACCAGGAACAACCTTCCCAACACAAGGACCAGTACTATACTGGATACAGCTTATTGAACTGAACTGTATTATTATCCAAGGATCCAGTCCTGTAAATCATGTGCACTGGAGTTAGTACCAGGGACTAACATCAGTTGGTTGTTTCCACTGTGTCTTTGTTGGTTTTATGTTTTTTAATCAAGCAAAAAACAATTAAACAAAATACTTGTTTTTATCTAAAATAATTAATAATTAATAAATGTATCAAATTAATATGAAATAATTAATTCATCTAAAATAAACTCTGCTTGTTTGTCCAGAACGGCTTAATTTACCTCTTCCATTTCTACTCTTTTCTGCTGTTTTTCTCGTTGTTCTCAGGAAGAGTGATCACAACAGTGACATGTTTGTCAATAGTCCTCAGAAGAAGAACTCACTGGACCATCGGGTGAGTTGTTATTAAACACCCTGTTGTTAATCAACTACTTGAAAACTCTCTTACTCTCGTCTGTAAGACACTTGTACCTGTTTAAACCTGTGTTTGAAGACTATCATTTTATCTATGCTGACATTTCTTCTCAAAGACAAGCTTTTTCTAAAGGTTAATGCGTTTCCTGTGTTTGATCTTAAGCCAAATCACTGTAATTTTTTTGTTCCTCTAACAGGAAGTGATAAAAGGCATCATGTCGTGGAGGAATTTCAGTTCATTCACCTGGAAATGTCTGTCGGCTCTTCCTGCTCTCAAAGATGACACTTTTATTCAGGGGTACTTTCTTTAAAATGCAATTTGACTTTTGTCTTAGCAGATGTTTTTTATAAAAACATCTTAAAAAGATATTTTAACTTTGACAAGATTCAATCATAAATCTTTTCCTAACCTCCATCTATGTCTTTACAAGCATTTCTATGCTACTATAGTTATAAAATATATGAACTCACATAGTAATAATCAAGATATATATTGATTGTTTTGTCTCCTCCTGATCTCCTGCAGTTCCTTGGACCACAGCACAGACCTGCTCCCTCTCTCCGTACCCCCTGCTCTTTTCTCCATCCATCCTGACACACTTGATGGAGATGCTGGTTATAGTGAGGGTGTGACTGCACTAATGGACAGAGTGTGAGGAACATCATGCTCTGTATTGAATGTTAACACATCAGTGAAGGCTTTACTCTCATTTCTAAAAGCCAAATTCTCCCCGTGTGTGTCTCCTCAGGTGTGAGGACTCTGGAGTTCGACTCACACCTCAGATGATCAGAGCTCAGTTCCTATCTGGAGAAGCTTCAACTCCTCAGCCAGGTATGACGCACAGCTGCAGAAATGCATTTACACACACAACACAGCATACACAAGAAAAGGGTTCATGTTTAAGGAGTTCAAGATCTGTGTACAGCAGAAATCACGATCACTGATCTTTCCTCCCACTCACCTTCATCCCTACAGTCCACAGCACATCACTTCACCGACCTTCAGTTTCATTCTAATGAATTCATTTCATTTTATTCAGTTGTTTCACTCCTGAAAAAAGTCATTACTTTTTGCATGTTATGTTGCATATACGATATGGTAAAAATGATAATAGAGCAAAAACAAAGGTGCAGTCAGGGTTGGTGATGATGAGTTTTTGTATTATTTTTGTTTGTTATGTCAGAGACAAAGGTAGGGCTACAGAAAAGGTAAGTGACTTTTGTGGTCAGAGAGATATTGTAAATGATGATTAAGGTTAGCCCTAATCATATGACTTAGTTTTTATAGATTCAGATTAGATCTCATGTATTTTATATAGATTTGTGTTCAGCACAAGTTTGTGTTGAACTGATACATTTGATGGTGTGTGAAGGACAAACTCTTTTCCTGGGCCTTAAACAAAACGTTTTTTCTTACCCTGTGAAATTTTTGTTATTAATATGCAGATATAAACTTATGGAAATGTAAATAAATCTAGTTCAAAGACCAAAATTCAAAATAGCTAACTTCCTGTAAGATCCTAAACCTGACTATCGATTTTACTAGGGATAATATTTTAGGGGGCGCTACTGTGTCATTGTGCCTTGTGTCAGAGATATAAAGGTGAAACTTGAAAACTGTGAATTGTGAATCTTTTTTACATGTCTTAATAATGACAATTGCTGCAGTAGTGTGAACAGGATTTTGATTGGTTTTGCTATTTTTTGTTTTTGTGATTAAGAAACTGTGGTAGTTTGAGAGTAGAGGTGTCCGTCTGTGTTGTTAAAAAAAGTTTACACTTCCACCTCTTGTTTATTGACAAATGTTAATACTCTATTTTGTGTAACGAACGTCATTTAGAAATGTATCTATCATAAATCTCCGTGATCTTAAAGAAGCAGATCAGATCAGCTCTGAGAAGAAGCTGCTAAACTGAACAGTTTCACGTTTCGAACTCCAGAGGGAGCTGTAGCTTTGTCCTTTAAAGCCGTTCTATACTGTAGAGTTTCCAGTTTCCATTCAGAGTTAGCTTTGTCCTTTAAAGCCGTTCTATACAGTAGAGCAGGCGGGTTTGTTCGTTCGTCTTCGACACAGTCCAGTTTCCATTCAGAGTTTCCTTAAGACATTTTCCCAACACTCCCTGTCAGTGTGACCAACCGTGGCCTTCTGTTAAAGGACAGAATAGCTTTATGTCTGTTGAGGAGTAGATTAAATTATTGATTTGTTTGTAAATATGTGTGTGTGACCGTGTGTGTGTGCTGTAACAGAATATAAAAGAAACAGGCTGTAGCTGCACATTGAGTCAAAGCCACAGCAGTGATATGGATTTAATAAGTCATAGAGGGTGTAATAATAGCAGCGTGTGTGTGTGTGTGTGTGTGTGTGTGTCATGTGTGTGAAGTGACTGAGAGAGAAAAGATGAGGAGCCACAGAAGAGCTGTGTTCTTCCATTACACTCTGTATAATTTATTCACTCTTCTTCTCCATCTGTTTAACTTCTAGGATATAGTACAACATGATGCAGTAGCCGTGTCATCACAGTATTATGTAGTTAGAGCTGCAGTGTCAAGTCTCTACTAGCACAATAACTCACTGTTCCACTGACTTTTTCTAACAGCAAACTGAAGTGAGTAAATCTCTTCTGTACCTTCCCGTCCAGAGAGAGACTCTGTGATGGAAGCCCACACACACACACACACACACACACACACACACCGGTGATCCACTGCTGACTCCTTGTGCCACTGGAATGTATCTAGACAAACATTCAAACACCACATACTTAAGAATGTTGACAGCCTTAGATCAATTATTCATGTCTGCCATCATGTAGCACTGCTGATCTTCTCTGAGGACGTTGGTGCAGCAGAGTACGTGTCAGCCTCCAGTCGGTTTGAGAACATGCTAAGGAGAACGCAATGGGCTAAAGCAAACATAATTATGGACTTTTAACGAGTCGAGGTCCATTGAGGAAATAGTCAGTTCAACTCAGGTACGAATTTGGGAGACGTTTGTAATCCGTTCAGTCAAAGGAGGATCTATCCATGAATCGATTTGACAGTGAGGGAGAAAACCTTGCATTTGGTCCATGTTTGCCAGAATGGAGCAACCTTTCCACAGAAATCTTTTTTTTTTCTAAGGCAATAGTGCATTGATTTTCTTTGCCTCCCTTTATTTACCGTCCATAAACCCGTGAGACGGAGCCCCAGTGGCCTCCAGCCTCAGATCTGTCCACAGCACCTCCACTCTTTGTTGTGATCTCTCTCACTCTCAGTATCTGTTTGCTCTCCCCGCTTTTAACTTCACACATTCCTCTGAATGATTTCTACCCGCTTACATTTCCTGGGAGAGACACTGTGTCGCCGTTTTCTTTTTCCCTTTGCCTCAGAGTAATGGTTCTCTGGAGACGCCATTCTCCTCGCTGCTGTCATAAACTGGAGAAACAGACTTGGTTTGTTTTTGGGTTTGGGGAAAAACGGTCTGAAGTTACAAATATGAAGTTATGTATTTTCCTCTTTAAACCTGGTTGATGATGCTCCCAGAGCTCAGACCTGGGTGGTGTTAAAGCCTGACCTCTCCCCTCACTGTTAGACCTCAGTGACACAGAGCAGACTGTAATGGCTGTGACTGGTGGATGGCGAGGTGCCCTGCACCGCTTCACACGGTCAAAGTCTAAAATGAAGCCATGAGCGCTTCTGTCTGTGTCTACGATTGAGTGCATTTAAGTGGAAAGAACATTATGTGTCGGTGACTTTTCTCTTCACGAGAGCAGAGACGAAACAAGTAAACAGAAAAAAAACAACCCTTTAAACTATATATGAAATTCAAACAATAATCGTAGGAAACATGTTGGTTATACTTTTGGTCAAAACTGGGGTCGTCTTATTCTTTTGCCAACCTCTGGCTAAACATTTGACATTAATCACTACACATCAGTGTTTCCCCTTCTTATGGATGTTGCTGGGAGTTTTCTTTTAATTCTCTACTGTTGACTGTAGAAGACCAGTGTGGATCTAGATCCAGACCAGTTGTCCCAGTTTTGCAGATTGAAGGAATAAGTGAGAATGTTCTTCAGCAGCTGTTTTATTTACCTTTGGCTTCAAATACAATCTACTTCTTCTTCCATCATCCTCATCATCATTACCCCTGACTCCTGTGTAATGCCTCAGTCTTGCCCCATCCCCCACCTTAATAGGAGAGTAAGTGAATTTAATGACCTTTATCTCTGACACTCTGGTGTTTACTGTGTTAATGGGTCTTATTTTTCAAATGTCACTTGTGTCTAACTTCTCACAGCCTCAGGACACACACAGAATTAATCTCCTATTCTTTACAGCAGGACGCCCAAACACAGTGGTGCTCCCACAGCTTTATTACATTATACAGGACGTCTTCCTATGGTTAGCTGCTAACATGCTAAAATACTCAAGGCTGTAAATGGGAAAAAAATACCGTTCATAAAGATGATGATGCTGGCGGTGTTGAGATGAACACTCACATAGTTCACATTTTCTACTTATGCTGTCGATTTTATTAAATACATTGGAACCCTTGCTATTATAGCCAGTATTTACGTCTACAGTTTCTGCTTCATTTCTTTGGCTAATTAAGTAGTTAATGGTTATATTCTCCATGGCTAAGTCTTAATTATCTCTTGATGAAATGTTTGTTGTGTTTCTTGGTTAATTCAGTTGTTGGTTTTTTGTTTTAGTTTTAGGCTTTTCATATTTACTTTGTTACATGTACAGCAGTTCATACAGTATGTATGTAAAAGGAGAATGAAAATACTTCATTTATAATTTATAAATTGTTTTCTCAGGAGCCTTTATTAACAGCCTTTATTAACCCCTGAAATGAATTACCAATTTTCAATTTTCAGTTTCAATTAGGAAACTAAAATTGTGAATGTGTTAAAATTGCAAAATACTGCACTGTAAAAATGTTGTATTTGTCTGGTCCTGATCCAATGGTGTAAAGAATATTTCATTGCAGGCACAGATAGAAGCAAACGTTCATTCCAGTTAACAGCCACGTGTTCAGTGTAGCGTTAAATAGGACAACACAAAACAGGGGCTGCATAAATCCTTGCTGACATTTCTGCAGATGAAAATACAGATGTTTATTTGTGATCAGGAAACAGCGAAACACACCTTTCTGAAAAGAAAATCTACTCCAAAATGACAGGCAAATTCTATACATCGCCAGACAGAAAATAACAACTCAAATAATAAAATGATGGCTTTAAGTCAGGAGTGAAATGGTAAGAAATCCATCTAAACATGAGCAAATTCAACTGGCCCCAGAGTTAGAAAACAGCCAACAACAAGCATTCTCAATAAGGTTAATTTCAGTATTTTGATGTGTAAAGCCTTAACTAAAAATATAAATCTTAAGCAAATTCATGAATCAGTTCAAGTTCCATGACAATAAACAAAACATCTGAAAAAGCCTGTGCAGATAAGACGAGACCTAACAAACAGATCCATCAGATAATCTGTCTAATCCCTGGATTAGGTTGATAAACACGTACTTCAAGAACGATTTATTCAATTAAACCTGAGAATGAGAGACAGTGTGTCTGTAAATGTGCAGTAAAACAGAAGCCATTGTGACATATTATACCGTTTAAGTAAGGATTCCACAGGAGGTCAGCGTCCAGACCCAGATCAATGCTGCTGCAGCTGCATGTCTCATTAGAACCCATTCTGTTCCCCTGGTATTTCTGCCTGTCAGTCTGACACAAAATGTAGCTTTGTCAAGAAAGAAATAACAAGGGTTCTTAACAATGCTTTATCACAAATGTTGACAAATGAAACCACAGTTCCATTCAGCTGACCGTCCAATCACCAGCA